ATATATCAAATATATAAGTTATGTAACATTTGTTTAACATTTCTAATGTTACATGTGTAAATCATTTGCAGATCATCTAGTAGATCAATTCTGTAGATCGATTTTGTAAATCTTCTAGTAGATCAATTTTATGCAACATGTTGATCATTTACTGATCCATATTTTCTTGTTATAATCACCCTGTAACACTACAAAAAAAGGAATAAAATGTTAGTACTATTATATTTTAATAATACAATCTTCACATTTTAATTAAACACCTTACCTTTCATTAGCCATTCCAAGAAGCTTTAGAGTTTAACCTAAAAAAAAAATTAGAATATTAGTATTTAAAGTTTATAAATTGAAAAATAAAAAAAAATAGTTAAATTCGATCGAAAAAAAAAAATAGTCTGATTTATCTATAAATAAAAATCCAGATAAATAAATATCGGAAATTAAATTAATTGATTGATCAATAAAAAAAAATATAACAGATAGAAAATCTGGCACTAGTTTTCTTGAGATGTCAGATTATAAATTATTATGCTACGACACATGTTATATTTTCCTCTATTTAGCATCCTATGTGATACTCTTATCTTTGATAATAGAGATATTACATTGATGAAAGTAAATGAAAGAACAAAAAACATTGAAGCGTGTTCACAGCCCGAACGAATTAATGTGAGATAGTCTTTTTTTATTTTTTATTTTTTACAGTTTATATAAAATTTATTTTTTGTAGTAAATTTACTTTAGTTTAATTAATGATTTTGGTAAATTATCCCAACAACTTTTTTCTCTTATTAAAGATGCAACTCAAAAACTTTCTCTTTTAAAGTTTGATAATAAAAACAAAATAATTACATACTTTTCACCTATGAACTTGAATGATAATGAATTCAATGATTTATGTAAAGGTTTTGAAACTCAAAACTTAAATGAAGGCAAAGAAAATTCTATAAAAATAGATGAGGAAGTTAAATTGGATGAAATACCACAAGTTATGAGTGAAGAAAATGTGAGCGGTAAAGTTGAAAAAGTGAAAGAAACAACTTATTGGTGTGCATTATTTAAACAGGATGGTTCTTTAGAGGTATTAATATATATCTATTGTAAATTTTTTCTGTCAATAATTATATAACAATGTTTTAAAAATAATAAATTCTAATCCTTATAATCAATTTATTCAGATTTTTAAGCTTCCTGAATTCGAAAAGGTTTTACTTTTCTATCATTTTGACTTGTCGCCAGCCGTGTGTATTAAATGCGGTTAGAAAGGTTCATGAGAAAATGACGAAATAAACAAATAAACTCAAATCCAAATATAGAAATGATTTTTTCTTTTACACAATTAAATCACAAAATCATTTATTTTTTAAAAAAAAATGGATTAAATACAATTATACTGATTACAGGCGAAAGAAATGATCCTTAAAAATAAGCTTAACAAAGAATACCTTTCAATCACTGGTCTTGCATTCTTTACCAAAAAAGTTGCGCTCTTGGCTTACAGTAAAGATTTGGAACTGCTAGGAGAAGGAAGAGTAAGTTATAAATCGATGAATCTTAATCTTTTTAAAAGTTTTTATATCTTAATAATGAAATGATTGATGCCATGTAAATGTAGATAGCTGTTACACAGTTAATTTCTAGCACCGGTGCGTTCTGGATCAGGGGTACCTTTTTAAATTAATTCTATCAACATAATAAAAAAATATTTGTACCAATCCCAACGTGAGGAAATCATCACGCTGTATTCAGAGATTCCGGGTTGGAAGTTGGACAATATAGATATTATGATAAATCAACTAATGGTTTAGATTTCAATAGTTTTATTGAAGATATCCAGGTAAAAACATTTTGGTCTGATATACGAATCATTTAATAGTATGTTTTTTTTTCCTTCTAAAAAAAATTTCATTTAATTGTATGATTAGAATGCTCAAAACATTCCATCTTTTTATTACACGCCTGCGTGTATAATCCTACTGGGGTTGATCTAACGCCACAATAATGAGATCAGATTTCTAAAATTATTAAGATATAGATATCTATGATGAATTGTTTTAAAAAATCCAGATACGTCAAGGGGAGTAACGTGTCAAAACTTCAATACGTTAATACATAAGAACGTAGTCATTTCACTTTCTTTGATATGGCCTACCAAGGATTTATCTCAGGTGATACAGATTGTGACGTATATGCAATTCGAAAGTTTGCCTCTGATAGACATCGAATTTGTTTATCACAGTCATTTGCGAATTAAGTAATCCCGAATTGAACAAGGAATGGTGAGGTTTTTTTTGTTTTCAAGTTAGTGTTACGTATCATATGACAATAATCACGTGTGATTACCCGATAGGTTAGGCGAAGTTAAGACTATACATGAAGTCGAAATGAAAACCCAAAAAGTCGAAATGTTTTAACTTTGAAGGTCAAAGTCAAAATGAAAAGTCGAAATGGTCGAAATTACGTCATATCACATGATTTTTATATATAAAAAAACAAAAAAAACAAAAGATGTACGATCTCAGTCAATATCGCACCGATTTGTATATAATAACTATCATTCGATTCCTTGAAACTAGGCGGATCCAATGAGCTAACATTCATTGATTTTGGATCATCCCATCTCGAGATATTTGCGATTGTATTTCGAAATCCAGACTCCTTTATTTAAAGTAGAATTTATGGATTAATAATTTCAGCCGATAATACAATTGTGAGTATCTCGTGATTGGATAATCCTAAATCAATGAATGTTAGCTCATTAGATCCGCCTAGTTTAGAGGAATCGAATGGTATTTGTTTTATACGAATCGGTGCGATATTGACCGAGATCGTACATCCTTTATTTTTTTGTTTTTTTTTATAAAAAGTCATGTGATATGACGTCATTTCGACTATTTCGCGACTTCAGCCTCTAATGGTCGAAATGATTTCGACCATTTCGACCATTTCGGATATCTGAAATGATCCATTTCGACTTCATGTATAAATGTGTTGACTTATCCTTCCTTCGTAAAGCATTACATCGTATTAAAGTACCTAACTATGCGGTAAATCTATTGATTAATTTCTTCACTGCATAAAAAAATGCTGTATTCACTACTCATAGTATATCAGATTATTACAATGTAAAATCAGCATAGACCAAGGTGAAATTATATTCCCGCTTTTATGATGCATCTATCTCGATCCTTTCCTATATGAAGTTGCTAATCTTAACAAAGGATACACTATTAAATATCGTTGGATCTCTGATCTTACTACTTTATCCTCCAATCATTTAACAGCTCAAGTATCCTTCCTTGCTTTTATAGATGATATAAATTGGATTGCTGGAAATCAACAAGACCTTAAATCTATGTTAGAAGTTGCAGACGAGTTTTACAACTTCACATGCTTTGCTCTTAACAAACAAAAATCAAAACTTTTGTCTATGAAACGTCTCCCTAGTCCCTCAATTAACTTATATTTCAGTTCATCTTATATCGATTTATGTGCTGAATAGGGCTCTGTAAGATTTCTAGAAGTCTGAATTAATCATAAACGCTCAGTCACCTTCGTTAAAAAGCAAATTATACTGGATATTCAAAGATTTATCAACATAATGAGATACAAATTTATTACTGATAAACAATTCATATATATTATTAATATAGTTCTTTGTTCTCTCATCGAATATTGAATTCAACTCACTTCTCTTTCTAAACCCGAATGTGATAAATTTTTTATTCCTATTCATTCCCTTTTTAAAAAGAAAACAAGTTCAATATCACACTTCCGAATGTTCTGTTAAACTTTATCAAATTTTACAATTTGAATAATCTTTGGTCATTACAAATTAAGTCCCTTTCTTGTGCTCTCCTACATCAATTCAATAATAATTCGCTTTATGAGTACATTTCTACTATCTGATTATTTTAATTACAATCACAATGTTCTCTTCCAACTTCTCTCTTAGACTTTTGGACTCAGTTCTTTAATCTTCAATCTCATCATAATCTCATTGGTGTTTTCTTGAGTTTAATTAAATCTTTATCTTTACATTTATCCTTTACTCCGACTCCTACTCTAATCAATTATATTAAAGGAGAACAACTTCTCCTAACCAATATTTTCTCTGTCCATTTGATTTCTAAATATACTAAGTTTCTTCGTCAACACAATCTTATTTATTTAGATCAACTTATCGATGCCACTGGCTAATCTTTAATAGAAAAATCTGATTTATTTCTTAGGAATTTTGATCATCATACATTGCGTATGAATCATTCTAGATTTTCATAGATTTAGAAGAATTAGTCCTAGATAACAATAGTAATCATTTACTTAAATTAGAATTTAGATTAGATCATCCTTTATCTATTTATAAATACTTAGCTGTCACCTCAATCCCCGTTAATCAAAGAAAGAATTCATTACCTTCTGGAACCCGATTTTGAATACCGTTTCCTTCAGTCACATCTTTGACAAAATTTCGAGTTTTAGATGGTTTATATGTTTTCATTATATTACCACAAGAAATAATAATCATAATACTTCTCTCATCAAATGCACTGGATACGTGAACTTCATGATTAATCTTATAATCCAAATGGATAAAGTTTGTTGAGTTGACTTATTACCTAATTCACCCAATATATATGAAAAATGATTTAAATATTCTTTAAATGAACTTTTTTAGATAGCTTTCAACATGATTTACAATTTACTAACTCCTCTAACCTTACTCTTTGAATCTGTTGATATTATCTGTATCCTACTTTCTTCTTTCTCACACCTTCATACACTTTCCTCCTTCTAAGCTACGCTATCTGCTTCAAAAATTCTCCATTTGTACACAGATGGTTCTAAAGATGGTTCCCATAATTATTTTTAAAATTTTTAACTAATTGCAACTTAAGTTGTAACACTTTGAGTTGCAACTATATATGAATTTTATATTAAAATAAATTATAAGGAGTTGCAACTTACTGAGTTGCAACTTCTTAAATATGGTATCTTTAGATGTTGTTAGCTTAAACGGTTCGTCGTTAAGTTAACTAAGATTATTTGCTAACAGGGAGTTTAAGTTCGTCTAAACT